CTTAAGCTGTGAAATGAAGTGTATCCATGAGTTTTACATTGTTCTGTGGCCTGAATTTTAGTGGAAAAACAAAGCAATCGTTTTTTCAAAAGGAACAATCCATTCCACATAGAATCAGTCTCACCAAKCAGGTCATTTTGTGGTATCCAGTCATAAATCCTGGTGTTGGAGCCCAGGGCATCTGGTTTCTTTCCTCTGTATCGCCAGAGGACCTTGAACAAAGGAAAAATAAGATAAACACAGTGCATGTGTTGTGCCTTTCTCTATTATCAAATGTAATTTAGGGCTTTATCTCAAACCCACGTATCTTTTCTCTGTAATTTAAACTGCCTTGGCTTCATTGGATCTGTTATTATGTACTAGTTATAAAAGTCACRTGGAGTGATTTTTGTATTTTGGCCTGTAGACAAACCTCCACATCATTTGGTTTRGAGGAGCTGCAACACCAGAACTCCCCATGAAGTAACTCAGCAKTCTGTCTGTGTGARAGAGAGCCCAGCTTCCTGGCTCTATYACATCCAGCARGGATGAGGTAAAGAGCAGGCTACTTCAAACATAAAAGACTCACTGAGGGCAATGAGAGTGTAAAATCAAGGCAATGTGTTTTAGGCRTGRAAAGAAATTCACCTTTTGTGGAAGCTGGCTGAGGGCTTTAGCAATCACATTACTTTTCTCATCACTTATGTTGAAGATTATTGACCCAAGACTGAATATGATGATACCATGTTCCCTTGAGCTCTGAACAAATTCTTCCATTTCCTAGGAGAGGCAGAAAACATAACAGGGGTAATTACACAGTGCAGATTACACAGATTTCTATGAAGAGAGAGCATAAGCTTTTCAGCTTCTCAAGAAGATGCTGATGCTGTGACAACTTCCTGACAGGAGGGCCTGACAAAGACAAACCTGGCCCTGTAGAGACAGGCCATTTTTCCCCACGAAAGAGAAGGACAAGTTAAGAGAAGTGACAGATGCTTTGTCTTTTTGGAAGCGGGAGTTTCAGGATACATTACAAGCAGCAGGAATTAATCCTGGCATTATCAGGAGCAGGCCATACATGTCCTGTAACACCCTCCCTGCCGTAGCTGTGGTTCTGGACTTTCCTGGACCAAGTACTTTGCATTACAAAGCTCTGCTGGTAACTGAGAGGCTGTCTCAACATCCTGATCACAGATTCACCAAGTTTGTGCCATCTCTGTTACTCAGAGAGTTGTCATTTCTTGCAACACACTACATTGCTCAAAAGACTTTCTACACATCTGACCAACATGTTTTCCTGTTCCTTTTATTTGTTAATGTCTTGTGAAGTGGAGCAGTAATATGCAAAAGAGAATAATTGTCCATTTCCCCCAGCTTCACCCCTGCTACAGGGGAGTGGGAAGAGAGGGAGAAGGTTTCTTTTA